TTTCCGGCCATTAGAGGGGCCGTAATTATAAATGTTCTTACCTCAGCCCCAACCATGGTGGTGGTATTGACACTTTATCAGTGAAAATTTCTCCCCTATGGGCCCTATTAAATATTCTTGGATTGGCCACTCATATATCAATAATTTTGTCGTTAAAAACGTTTAGAATGTGAAATGACAATTAAAAAACGAGTATTTCTAAAATTCCACAATGGAATTGGTGACTGGGACCAAAAAGGGCCCCACTCTTAGAAAGCCACAGGGTCCCCGACCTCATCGTTACGCCACTGATTGTAGATTTATATTTTTCGTTCTTCATAGACATTTTACTAATGATTTGAAAGTGTTCTATTAGTTAATTTTATTGTTCCTCTTGATGAATTTTGCCATAAACATCTAATCTATGTTATAACTGTCAAATTGTAATTGTATTTTTCATTCCTTTGCGAATACTTGTCTGTAAATTATTAAACTTTTGCCATTTCCCATTTTCATTGCCGTCCTCATCATCATGTGATCATCATCATCACTATCATCACCACCAATCATCAAAATCCTGTGTTTCCATGTGCAAGTTTGGTTGCTGGGATTGCTGTAAATGGAAGCTCTCTATTGATTTCTGTTTGATGCCTCTTCAATTTTAAATCCTATGTTTTCAGTGATTCAACTTACAAGGCAAACACAGTAAATGCAAATAAATGACACATGACATGGATTTCTTAGAATTTAAATATTTATTTTAATATTCAAGTTAAATATTAATTACAAATAGTTCACATGGGTTAAACAATTTAAAAAATGCTGATAAAATATACAGTACTCTAGGCAATGGCTATTGTAACATATGTATGTATATATGTATTGTACAGAATAATATTTTTTTAAGAAAAAAAAAATGGAGCAGACCCAATAGTACTTGTCATGTCAGTACAGACAATATCTGATAAACTATTGTCTGTTAAGTATGTCAGAAAAACAAATATGATTTATACTGTAATACATTTCACAAAAACGTAATAGATAGTATGATCATACTCTTACTTTGAATATGTCATCTACTGAACTTAATGATATGGTTTAACATTAAAACACTTTACTATTGCATGTTACAAAATAAACAAATATAATTGTAAAACTGATGGGCCTCTTAGTGTTAATTCTACAATGAATATTTTAGCAGTGTGTTTTTGCTTTAAAAATTAATGACAAGAATGTTTAATTACTCATCACCATAGAGGTAAAGAAGTATATATCAATATCAGTGGAATGCTATCAACAACTAATCTTATAATTATAAAAGTGATGGTCCTCTTTGAGTAACTTTCAGATTAAGTACAATACAATAAAACAAAATAAGGGTACCCCTGTAAGAGACATTAACTGGAAACATAAAATTGTTTGTAAAATAATCTTAACTGCAAGTAAGTTACATTATGATACAAATTTAATATGAAAGTTTTTATAACAATAGTAATTGTATTACTTCAAGATACTATAAATGCATTATGAAATATTCTTGTCTTAAAAAATTGTGCTTTCTACTTGATGTCCAAAGAAAAGCATGAATTGGGCATGACTTAGAAATCAGGTTCATGTTATCATTCAAATCCTGTATGAAGTCATTTTATAAGAACACTGAGGCTCTTAAAAATTAAGTACAAAATAAGAACAATTTGAGGCTGAGATAAAATGACAAATAAGGTTTTTAAATTTTAAAAATAGAAAAAGAACAGTAAATCTTTTCTGCACCTTAATTGAAGTAGTTGCGAGCATGTGATACCCTTTATAATGGATCTAGGCCAGTTTGCCGAATGCCAGATTGGCGAAGACCACTTTGCCGAATCCCAGTTTGCCAAATCCAGTTGCCTAACCCAGTTTACCGAAAGTCAGTTAAAAGCAGTGAAACATTAACAGCAGCATAAAATTCACGATGGAATACATACATACGGTACATATGCATACATATATATGCATACATATAAATACATATATACATATATATAAATACATATATATACATATATATAAATACATATATATACATATATATAAATACATATATATACATATATATATACATATAAATACATATATATACA